ATGACTGGTGCTGGCTCCCCTGAAGGCAGTCTGATGGGCTGGAAAGCTAGCTGGCCTGCAAGCATCCTGGCATGCGCGGCCATCGGCTGCGCGGCAAGCACAAACAGCAGCGGCGAGAGGGGGCTTCCCTGGAAGACGCCGGAGGCCACCGGGAAGGCATCGGTGTGCCAGCCGTTGAAGGCCACTCGCGCGGTCGTGCCGGAGTGCAGAATGTGCACCCACCGCTGCACACCGGGCCCGAAGCCCACCGCAGCCATGCACCGCTCAATCCAGGCCCTGTCAAGGCGATCGAAGGCCTTCTCGAAGTCCAGGAAGACCTGCACGCCTGGCTGGTGTGTGGCCTCCAGGTAGCTGATCTCCTCCAGGTGTGCCAGCACGTTGTCCCCCGCCCAGCGCTTAGGCAGGAAGCCTGTCTGTGTGGCATCCACCACCTGATTCAGCAGCGGCCCGATCCGGCTGGCGATCGCCCGCGCCGCGAGCTTGTAGTCGGTGTTGAGCAACGTGATGGGCCTGTAGCTGGCTGGAGACTCCCTGTCTGCCCCCTTCCCCTTGTACAAGAGAGTGATACGCCCCTGCGTCAGCGGTGGCGGCAGCGCCGCTTCCCCGCCGCCGCCGAAAGCTTCCTGCAGCATCCCTGCCAGCTCCAGCCCTACCACAGGCCAGAAGCGCAGGTAGAACTCATATGGCAGGCCATCCAAGCCCGGTGCCTTGCCGCGCGGCAGGCTCCGGAGGGCAGTCTCCAGCTCTGCGACCGACACGCTGCCATCACCGCGCTCTCCTTCTGCCGCTGCAGCTGCCTGAGGGGACAAACGCTTGTCCACTGCCCGCAGCAGCTCATCCTGGGCTGCCAGCGACACCGGCTGCGCCGCGAAGAGGCCTGCCGCTTCGTCGCCACTGTAGTACTCCCGCAGCACCGCGCCGCCCCGATCCCTGCCGGCTGGGTGATCCAGGACAACCCGTGGGCTGTCAGGGGCTGGACCTGTCCTGAGGGCCATCAACTCTGTGCGGCCCTGCCGCTCCCGGGCCAGGTGGTGGAACCAGAAGGTGGACTGCTCACCGTAGAACTGCCATACGATCCCAGCCTGGAGTGCTGCCCCCTTAGCTGCCTCCACATTGAGGCCCTGCAGAAGCTGGTGGGCATCCTGCCATGCCAGAAGGGTGTCTGGTGCGGGCCGCCGGGTGAACGCCGCGAGTGCTGCGCGGCTGTCAGACTCCAGAGCCCGCTGAGAGGCCCGGCGCTCCGCTGCGAGAGCCCAGGAACGCTGCATGGCCATATCTTTGACCTGCCTCTTCAACTCCACCCACCTGCTGCCCTGCGTGACGCCCTCTCCGAGCGGGTGTGCGGCAAGATACTCCGGAATCGCTGCCGTAATGCGATCGCAGAACGGCTGATCGTCCAGAAGATGAAGGGGCAGCCTCCAGGCTGCAGAGCCATACAGTGTGCTGGCTGGAGCTGTAAGGCTCAGGCTGACCCCCAGGTGGTCTCCTGGATAACCAAGAACCTGCCCGATCGCTCGCGGCTCCCGGCTGACCCGCGCCCGCAGCGTCTCCGAGACCAGCCAGCGGTCGAGCCGGGCAGCTGACTGACCTGTGGTGGCAACGTGGGTGAAGGCACGACTGCTGGGGTTGAGGTCACGCCAGACATCGTAGAGCTGATGCTCAGTCTCCACGAGCCGCAGGCCGGTCCAATATCCATGCGTCCGCTGACCGGGCTGCCCGGCGGCCATGTCCTGCTGGCCTGCAATGCAGTTGAAGTCCCCTCCCACCAGAAGGCAACGTGCTGCTGGAAGGCTGGGCAGCAGCTCCTGTGTGTAATACTGCTGTCGCTCCGCTGCGGCCGCAGGTGCGTACACGGAAGCTACCGTGTAGGGCTGGCCACAATAAGTGAAGTCCACTAGTAGGGTGCGTCCGGTGGTGCTGCAGTGACGCACCGTGATGGCTGCTGTGGAGGCTGTGGGTCTTAGTAAGACCGCTACGCCGCGTGACTGGGAGGTGAAGTGGCACCAAAATGCGGGCCCGCTCCAATTGCAGCGAAGCCCGGCAGGCCCCTCCTGCGCCCATGCTGTCCCCTCCTCTGTAGAGCTGTGGTGGGTCTCCTGAAGGAGGATGATGTCCCACCTGTCGCGCTCCAGAAGGTTGAAGAGGCAGCGCCTCTTGTCTCTGTCCCTGAGGCCGTTGACGTTGAGGCTGAGAAGGCGCAGGGAGGGCGATCGGGAGCGAGTCATGGCTGCGAGGGCCGCCGTGCCGGCGGGCCCCCACTGCGAATGCTCCTGGAAATCCTGTGCTCTACCCGCTGCCGCTCCTGCTGTTGCCCCTGCTGCTGTAGCCACCACTCTGTAGGCTGATGCCGCGTACGCGCTGAGCGCCACGGAGCCGGCAGCCCCGCTAGTGCGACCTGCGCCGCACGCTGCGCTGCGCGCGCTGCGGCTGCTCGCGACTCAAAGCCCGGCGGGACGGTGGGTCTCCCCTGCTGACGTGCAATGGGTGCTGCTGGGACCTCTGCCGGCTGCGCTAGGTCCTCCGGTGTCAGAGCCGGCAAGCCGTACGAGTCGTCCGGCAAGCTGTCTGCTCCATGGATGCGACGCAGAGCATCGCAGAGGAGCTGGTGCCGCAGCTCCCTATCTGCTGGTGCATCCCCTCCCGACACGAGCGCGAGTGGTGCATCGCTGTGCAGCCGGCGAATCGCTGCCGCGCTGTCTGCGGGGGAGAAGTGTGTATGCCCTGCCAGCCACTCCAGGCACTCCTCAATACGCTCAACCGGGACGCCGCTGAGGTCCAGGTGCGGAGGGCGACGGTGAGCCGTCTGGGGTGGATCCTCGGTGTGAGGCAGATCCCAATCCATGGGGGTGGCTGCACCTTTATCGCGCACGCGCGATATCCTGCGTCGCAACTCTCGCTGCGGCACCGAGTATGCCTGTGTCTCCCACTCCATCGGTACCGGCGGCGGTGGCGGCGGCGGCGTGTCTTCCTCCATGTCTGTCAGTGCCTGTCTAGCAGCAGGGAAGACCTGTGCACCTCGCGGAGGGGTGCAGTCCATCGGAGTAAGCGGCTGCGTGTCTCCAGCGGGGCGAAAACGCGGGCCTAATCGCGCTACACTGATGGAGCCAGACGCACCCAGGCCAGAGCGGTCGCCACCGGGCGCGCGGCTGGCTTGTACGCGGGCCTCCAGCTGCTGCAACTGGGCACTGGGTGCTGGCTGTGTCCGCTGCGCCGCGGCTGCGGTGCGCGTGTGGGCCTGCGCAGCGCGCTGCCGCTGACGGATCGGTCGAGGCCCTGAGCGGCGCGACGGCTCCGGAGCTAAGCGCTGCGACTGGAAGGAGGATGGCTGGCTGGGCTGCCGCAGCTGCCCCGGCCGCGTGATATTGATCCGGGTGTCACCGTCGATGAAGAACCGCTTTGGTAAGCGGCCCAAGTGCCGGTCCTCATCCGGCGTCTGGATGTATGCAAGGCACGCATTCCCGTTGCCGACGCCATGGGTGCCCACTGCCAACGGTCCTGGCAGGTCGCCGAGGAATTCGCCGCGAACAACGTATGTGTCCCTGGGGCAGCCAGCACAGTCCAGAAGGGTCTGAGTGAGACCCTTTCTGCAGTACTCGTACGGCAGCCCGTGGATGATGATGCAGGTGTGCTGGCAGTGGAACCGCCCAGCAGTGAGTTGCACCGGCACCGCTACGTCTCCGCTGCCCGGCACTGCACGCAGCCGGACAAGCTGGTCCTCCGCTGCCGCATGCCGCGCCGCAGCTGCTGCCGGGACCGTGTCAAACCAGAGCTCCACGCAGCTGTCAGCTGCGCCGGGCGATCCTCGCTGCTTGACTCCCCCGACATGCGGCGCGAAGTGAGCGATTACTCCTCTGGTGACCTTTAGCTCCAGCTGCATGCGCTCCGGGCTGCCATAAGGAACCTCCTCCTGCAGCTCAAGCTGGCCCAAGGCAGCCAGTAGGAGTGGCTCGCTGTCCCCCCACCGGTCTGGCCGCGGCCGGAGAAGCCTTGGCCGGGGAGTGCTCAACGCATGGGCATCCAGGGCTCTCTGAGGCTCCAACTGCCATGACTTGACAGTCTGCATCGTGCTGATCAGGCTGGCCAGGTGGGGGACCCAAGTTGCTGGGCAACTGCTGCTGCTGCTGCTGTGCTCCTCTCTACTACCTTGTGCTCCCCTGTGCTGATTGCTCCTGCTGATTAGCTCTTTAGGGCGTCCACCGTCCGCCGAGGAGGTCTTGGGGCCTTGTTCAAGAGCTGTGGCAGCTCCCTACTAAAGGCCTTGAAAACCCCTCGGGAAGCCTACAAAAGAGGCTCGTGTGGCCTCTTCCCCTGCCCCTATTTCCTCCCCGCACTCTTCCTCCCTTGTGACACTTCCCTCCTGCCCCTGAACCCTCTGGTCCAGTGGAGACGGGTAGCATTCGCGTAAAATATGTATATATATTGTCGATGATGGTAGTGGCTGAAAATAAGCTACATTGGAGGCTATCCGGACGTGTGAGCTCGCGGGATGGCAACTGTGTCGTGGTCGAAATGAGTAAATACGCACAAAAGTAGGCAAGTGGGGTATCGATCGAAAGCTGTGAACATTCTCTACACAATGCAAGTGAGAAACTTGAAGATGCTGGTGTATCGGTGGAGAAATCGTGTGAAATCGATGTATGGTAGTCCTTCAATTATCCTTAAACACATCGTCACGCAGGATCTAACTTGGCTATCTGTATGACCATGCTCTCATTTGGCCTTCTGCCATGACACCCGCTCGTGTCGATTCTTGTGTTGAACTCACACCCTCTCTTAGGGGGGCCTTTGCGATAGGTGCTCTGGGCACATGGGCGCTAAGAGCCTTCGTCATACCATAGTCAGGCACGGATGACTAACCTTTCACCAGTCCCGATCCCACCCCGGCAAAGCCCGGCCTGTCGTTCCTTGTCTGAGACCCCTTTTGCCTTAGAGCCCTGGGACCACAGATTGCCTACCAGAAGCTTTGCGCCTCTCCTACCTCTAACCTTTGCCAGCGCGGAATGGGGCTCCGAGTCACGTGCTTCCACTGGTCGAGGGACCTGTCGAGCTCGGCCCAACACGGCCCCGGGGGTGCCTCCTTCACCCCTGGGGCACTGGCCTCGCCACCCAGTGCCGGTGGCCTCGCCCACCACCGGACGTGTTTGCGCGGCTCACCCCTTGGGTATCCCTCGGCCAGACGGATCCATCGTGCGCCCCGCTACCTGTGGAGTACCGTGCCGGAGAGCCAGAGCGTTGGCGCAAGCTTACAGAAGACCACCCTGCCCAGGGCTTTAGGCTATCAATAGTTTTCCAGTGATCCTCCGATGTTTCTGTCTCACCGGCAGCCCCAACAATCCCCTTGGCCTGTCATCCGTGGCCTTCTGCCTTAGTGTCTGTCCTCCTCACCATTCACAGTAGTTCATTGAAGGCTATCTGAAGGGTTTAGGGTTTCCAACCCCAGTATCCACCCTTGAACCTGAGCGGGTGTCTAGGACCTTGGACATGATGCCTCCTGCCTATCCCCGCCTCCAATGTGGTGGGTGTGTGTATCTGGTCGAGTTCTCGCCAGCCTACCTGTTTTTCGCCTCATTTGCGGCTTCATATCTCCCATATGCCACCGTTTGCTTGTGCCCCACCTTGCTGGCAGATTGAGGCATAGTTTAGGGTCACATTGCCAGCCCCGAGCGGCACCTAGTGGTAATGGGTCCGAACGCGATCCTGTTCCATCCCTGTCGGCCAACCGTATAAACGTGCCTTTCATGTCTGTTCCACCACTGGTTGCCCGCACATCCATAATTGCCTGCCAGTGATTGATGATTGCCTGCTTTGCTGTGACCCCTGCCTCCAGCTGCAAGCCCTAGGCTTGCCCCGTGGGTCCTCCAACGTCACCTCAGCGGTGTTGCGTTGCCGGCGGGCTGGAGTGCGCCTCTGGGGATGAGGTTACCCTCTGGTGCTTGGGACATGTCCATCGCTAGGAGCCTTTCTGTTGCCTTTCTGTGGTATGCCTTCATGCTTGCGCTTCTCTTAAGTATCGCATTATCCTCCTGCGGGAGTGCTCTGCGTGCCCCAACTCTGACAGGTTTCCCCAAATATCCTATTGCATGCGTGCTGGGAAGCGTGCGACTGGCACCTGTGTAATAGCGGGGGCTTCCCCTTTTAAAAAAAAAAAAAAAGGCCAGGAGACCATGGTCATACAGAGTGCCTGTTTTAGGCCAAGGCAGGCCACCTGGTTTAGGCCAAGGCAGGCCCCCTGCTTTAGGCCAAGGCAGGCCACCTGTTTTAGGCCAAGGCAGCCATAATATGAGCCACGACAACCACTCGGGAAGGGGAGGCCTCTTTATGGAGCCTTAAAGCTCCCCTGTTCCTGCAGCTGTGGCCGAGAGAGGCGAGAGGCCTACCCTCTGCGACTGTATGCAATGCCGAGTAAGGGAGAAGGATTGCAGAGTGGGACTATCATGACGATACGACGTGCTGGGGCACCGACTGACAAGCATATACTATACTCTTGTTTATGTGGCTAGGGGCTTTCTGGAACATGCATGCACGGAACAAATGTATTCAATGGCATGCTGGATGAGTGGACTTTTGATGAATGGATTTGACATGCGTGGCACTGCAATGCAGGCCGCCTGCTGAGCACGGCAGACTTCCTGGAGGACCCGCAGCCGGCCATCTTTGCCAACATCAACCTCAAGTACGGCTACCTGCGCCTGCGCGCCAATGCCACCGCCCTCATCACCGAGGTGGGCTGCGGCTACTTCTCATGTTTTCTAAGATCCTTACATGCATATCACCGGATACGGGCCATCATTGTCATGTCCTGGCCAAATCCAAATCAAGCTGCATTCATAGGGGCTGGGGAGCTCGAAACATCAGCAAATTCACAGATAGACGGAAAATAGAGAGGGAATGTTCTTCCAGCAAGTGCTCTGCTGGGCTGCTTCTCATCCTAGCCCTTGATGAATCCGAAGAGTCCACCAACAGGAAGCAGGAAGGATGCTCTTCAAATGTTTGTGATCAGACTTCAAGCTCCGGTTCTTGCCCCATGTGTCTGGATCTGCCATGTGCTCATGTCAACATTACGCATCTTGTCAGACCTGATGCACCAGTTGTTATACCCTCTTCCTGCCAGAAGGTAAGGTGTGTCCTGCAGACAAGCTGCAGCAAAAGGCTGCCACAAACCCACTCCTTGTTGGACTCGCCAGATCCAAGCAAGACCCAATCAAACGTGGGCACGGTGCTCAGTACTTATACCGCACCCCGCCAGCCGGGGCCAGGCGCGGAGCCGGCTGGAGCCAGCACCCGCAGTATAGGGTAGTAAGTCAGCTACAGTCTCTGATTTGTGGCCGTTGACGTTGAGGGTGAGAAGGCGCAAGGAGTGCGATCACCAGCAGTCGGCGGCGAGGGCCACCGTGTCGGAGTACGCGCGTGACCTGTTCTGCTGCTGGTGAAGCCACGACTCTGTGGGCTACTGCCTGACTTGCACGCGACTTGACGCCCGGCGGGAAAGCAGGTCTGTCCTTTGAGCGTCCAGGTGTTGCTGCTGGAGCCTCCTCCCGCGTCAACGCAGCCGAGTCGTACGAATCCCATGGCAGGCTGTTCCTTTCCATTACTGTCTTCCTGCAAGAAGGCCCTGCTTGCCGATTGGCGGCTCGCGACCGTCAACGTCCGGCAGACAGCAGGTGTGCTCAGCGACTGGCTTCGCGGACGCGACCCGATGATCACCAGGGAGCAGTTTGCGGCGCGATGGTGCCACCGCGCGGTCCTCTGCGCGCTGGAGGAGCTGCCGGGCGCGCAACCAGTCATCCACTGGAGTGCCCAGCATCCCGTGCCGCTTCCAGCGTGACGCTTCCGATCCACCATTCACTGTACCCAGCCGGCCACGGCTCTAACTTGGCTATCTGTATGACCATGCTCTCATTTGGCCTTCTGCCATGACACCCGCTCGTGTCGATTCTTGTGTTGAACTCACACCCTCTCTTAGGGGGGCCTTTGCGATAGGTGCTCTGGGCACATGGGCGCTAAGAGCCTTCGTCATACCATAGTCAGGCACGGATGACTAACCTTTCACCAGTCCCGATCCCACCCCGGCAAAGCCCGGCCTGTCGTTCCTTGTCTGAGACCCCTTTTGCCTTAGAGCCAGCTGCAAGCCCTAGGCTTGCCCCGTGGGTCCTCCAACGTCACCTCAGCGGTGTTGCGTTGCCGGCGGGCTGGAGTGCGCCTCTGGGGATGAGGTTACCCTCTGGTGCTTGGGACATGTCCATCGCTAGGAGCCTTTCTGTTGCCTTTCTGTGGTATGCCTTCATGCTTGCGCTTCTCTTCAGTATCGCATTATCCTCCTGCGGGAGTGCTCTGCGTGCCCCAACTCTGACAGGTTTCCCCAAATATCCTATTGCATGCGTGCTGGGAAGCGTGCGACTGGCACCTGTGTAATAGCGGGGGCTTCCCCTTTTAAAAAAAAAAAAAAAAAAAGCAGGCAATCATCAATCACTGGCAGGCAATTATGGATGTGCGGGCAACCAGTGGTGGAACAGACATGAAAGGCACGTTTATACGGTTGGCCGACAGGGATGGAACAGGATCGCGTTCGGACCCATTACCACTAGGTGCCGCTCGGGGCTGGCAATGTGACCCTAAACTATGTCTCAATCTGCCAGCAAGGTGGGGCACAAGCAAACGGTGGCATATGGGAGATATGAAGCCGCAAAAGAGGCGAAAAACAGGTAGGCTGGCGAGAACTCGACCAGATACACACACCCACCACATTGGAGGCGGGGATAGGCAGGAGGCATCATGTCCAAGGTCCTAGACACCCGCTCAGGTTCAAGGGTGGATACTGGGGTTGGAAACCCTAAACCCTTCAGATAGCCTTCAATGAACTACTGTGAATGGTGAGGAGGACAGACACTAAGGCAGAAGGCCACGGATGACAGGCCAAGGGGATTGTTGGGGCTGCCGGTGAGACAGAAACATCGGAGGATCACTGGAAAACTATTGATAGCCTAAAGCCCTGGGCAGGGTGGTCTTCTGTAAGCTTGCGCCAACGCTCTGGCTCTCCGGCACGGTACTCCACAGGTAGCGGGGCGCACGATGGATCCGTCTGGCCGAGGGATACCCAAGGGGTGAGCCGCGCAAACACGTCCGGTGGTGGGCGAGGCCACCGGCACTGGGTGGCGAGGCCAGTGCCCCAGGGGTGAAGGAGGCACCCCCGGGGCCGTGTTGGGCCGAGCTCGACAGGTCCCTCGACCAGTGGAAGCACGTGACTCGGAGCCCCATTCCGCGCTGGCAAAGGTTAGAGGTAGGAGAGGCGCAAAGCTTCTGGTAGGCAATCTGTGGTCCCAGGGCTCTAAGGCAAAAGGGGTCTCAGACAAGGAACGACAGGCCGGGCTTTGCCGGGGTGGGATCGGGACTGGTGAAAGGTTAGTCATCCGTGCCTGACTATGGTATGACGAAGGCTCTTAGCGCCCATGTGCCCAGAGCACCTATCGCAAAGGCCCCCCTAAGAGAGGGTGTGAGTTCAACACAAGAATCGACACGAGCGGGTGTCATGGCAGAAGGCCAAATGAGAGCATGGTCATACAGATAGCCAAGTTAGAGCCGTGGCCGGCTGGGTACAGTGAATGGTGGATCGGAAGCGTCACGCTGGAAGCGGCACGGGATGCTGGGCACTCCAGTGGATGACTGGTTGCGCGCCCGGCAGCTCCTCCAGCGCGCAGAGGACCGCGCGGTGGCACCATCGCGCCGCAAACTGCTCCCTGGTGATCATCGGGTCGCGTCCGCGAAGCCAGTCGCTGAGCACACCTGCTGTCTGCCGGACGTTGACGGTCGCGAGCCGCCAATCGGCAAGCAGGGCCTTCTTGCAGGAAGACAGGATGCGAGCCGCAACCGCTCCGGGGGTGATCGCCGCCGCATCTGGCTGGTGGCGGCCGCGCTGATATGCTGCCCACAGCTGACAGATTGTAGCGAGCCGCAGGCGATCCCAGAGCTGCCTGAGCTGCCGCGGCGGTCCCCAGCGGTGTTGCGTTGCCGGCGGGCTGGAGTGCGCCTCTGGGGATGAGGTTACCCTCTGGTGCTTGGGACATGTCCATCGCTAGGAGCCTTTCTGTTGCCTTTCTGTGGTATGCCTTCATGCTTGCGCTTCTCTTCAGTATCGCATTATCCTCCTGCGGGAGTGCTCTGCGTGCCCCAACTCTGACAGGTTTCCCCAAATATCCTATTGCATGCGTGCTGGGAAGCGTGCGACTGGCACCTGTGTAATAGCGGGGGCTTCCCCTTTTAAAAAAAAAAAAAAAAAAAAAAAAAAAGCAGGGGAGACCCACCGTCCCGCCGGGCTTTGAGTCGCGAGCAGCCGCAGCGCGCGCAGCGCAGCGTGCGGCGCAGGTCGCACTAGCGGGGCTGCCGGCTCCGTGGCGCTCAGCGCGTACGCGGCATCAGCCTACAGAGTGGTGGCTACAGCAGCAGGGGCAACAGCAGGAGCGGCAGCGGGTAGAGCACAGGATTTCCAGGAGCATTCGCAGTGGGGGCCCGCCGGCACGGCGGCCCTCGCAGCCATGACTCGCTCCCGATCGCCCTCACTGCGCCTTCTCAGCCTCAACGTCAACGGCCTCAGGGACAGAGACAAGAGGCGCTGCCTCTTCAACCTTCTGGAGCGCGACAGGTGGGACATCATCCTCCTTCAGGAGACCCACCACAGCTCTACAGAGGAGGGGACAGCATGGGCGCAGGAGGGGCCTGCCGGGCTTCGCTGCAATTGGAGCGGGCCCGCATTTTGGTGCCACTTCACCTCCCAGTCACGCGGCGTAGCGGTCTTACTAAGACCCACAGCCTCCACAGCAGCCATCACGGTGCGTCACTGCAGCACCACCGGACGCACCCTACTAGTGGACTTCCACTTATTGTGGCCAGCCCTACACGGTAGCTTCCGTGTACGCGCCTGCGGCCGCAGCGGAGCGACAGCAGTATTATACACAGGAGCTGCTGCCCAGCCTTCCAGCAGCACGTTGCCTTCTGGTGGGAGGGGACTTCAACTGCATTGCAGGCCAGCAGGACATGGCCGCCGGGCAGCCCGGTCAGCGGACGCATGGATATTGGACCGGCCTGCGGCTCGTGGAGACTGAGCATCAGCTCTACGATGTCTGGCGTGACCTCAACCCCAGCAGTCGTGCCTTCACCCACGTTGCCACCACAGGTCAGTCAGCTGCCCGGCTCGACCGCTGGCTGGTCTCGGAGACGCTGCGGGCGCGGGTCAGCCGGGAGCCGCGAGCGATCGGGCAGGTTCTTGGTTATCCAGGAGACCACCTGGGGGTCAGCCTGAGCCTTACAGCTCCAGCCAGCACACTGTATGGCTCTGCAGCCTGGAGGCTGCCCCTTCATCTTCTGGACGATCAGCCGTTCTGCGATCGCGTTACGGCAGCGATTCCGGAGTATCTTGCCGCACACCCGCTCGGAGAGGGCGTCACGCAGGGCAGCAGGTGGGTGGAGTTGAAGTGGCAGGTCAAAGATATGGCCATGCAGCGTTCCTGGGCTCTCGCAGCGGAGCGCCGGGCCTCTCAGCGGGCTCTGGAGTCTGACAGCCGCGCAGCGCTCGCGGCGTTCACCCGGCGGCCCGCACCAGACACCCTTCTGGCATGGCAGGATGCCCACCAGCTTCTGCAGGGCCTCAATGTGGAGGCAGCTAAGGGGGCAGCACTCCAGGCTGGGATCGTATGGCAGTTCTACGGTGAGCAGTCCACCTTCTGGTTCCACCACCTGGCCCGGGAGCGGCAGGGCCGCACAGAGTTGATGGCCCTCAGGACAGGTCCAGCCCCTGACAGCCCACGGGTTGTCCTGGATCACCCAGCCGGCAGAGATCGGGGCGGCGCGGTGCTGCGGGAGTACTACAGTGGCGACGAAGCGGCAGGCCTCTTCGCGGCGCAGCCGGTGTCGCTGGCAGCCCAGGATGAGCTGCTGCAGGCAGTGGACAAGCGTTTGTCCCCTCAGGCAGCTGCAGCGGCAGAAGGAGAGCGCGGTGATGGCAGCGTGTCGGTCGCAGAGCTGGAGACTGCCCTCCGGAGCCTGCCGCGCGGCAAGGCACCGGGCTTGGATGGCCTGCCATATGAGTTCTACCTGCGCTTCTGGCCTGTGGTAGGGCTGGAGCTGGCAGGGATGCTGCAGGAAGCTTTCGGCGGCGGCGGGGAAGCGGCGCTGCCGCCACCGCTGACGCAGGGGCGTATCACTCTCTTGTACAAGGGGAAGGGGGCAGACAGGGAGTCTCTAGCCAGCTACAGGCCCATCACGTTGCTCAACACCGACTACAAGCTCGCGGCGCGGGCGATCGCCAGCCGGATCGGGCCGCTGCTGAATCAGGTGGTGGATGCCACACAGACAGGCTTCCTGCCTAAGCGCTGGGCGGGGGACAACGTGCTGGCACACCTGGAGGAGATCAGCTACCTGGAGGCCACACACCAGCCAGGCGTGCAGGTCTTCCTGGACTTCGAGAAGGCCTTCGATCGCCTTGACAGGGCCTGGATTGAGCGGTGCATGGCTGCGGTGGGCTTCGGGCCCGGTGTGCAGCGGTGGGTGCACATTCTGCACTCCGGCACGACCGCGCGAGTGGCCTTCAACGGCTGGCACACCGATGCCTTCCCGGTGGCCGCCGGCGTCTTCCAGGGAAGCCCCCTCTCGCCGCTGCTGTTTGTGCTTGCCGCGCAGCCGATGGCCGCGCATGCCAGGATGCTTGCAGGCCAGCTAGCTTTCCAGCCCATCAGACTGCCTTCAGGGGAGCCAGCACCAGTCATGCACCAGCATGCGGACGACACCAGCGTGCACGCGCGGACTCCCCGGGATGCTCAGATCGTGCTGGGGGCC